TGTTCTTGCGTTTGGCACGGATCCTCATCGAGCAATGCCTCCAATTCAGCGTCTTCGAAGGTTTTTGGCCTTCCTTCACGCGGATGGTCGTCAATATCGAAATCACCGTCTTTGAAGCGACGAAACCAATCACGGCACGTTGTTTCACTTAGAGCAGCATCTCCGTAAACTTTTTGGAGCTCTCGATGCGCTTCAGCCGCCATTTTCTTCGAATGAAATAAGAAAATCAATAATTCCCGCAAATGACGATTATTTGGCACAAAATCAGACATTTCCACACAACCAAAAGTATATGACGCCAAAACAAAATCACTAACGTGTCAAAGCGGTTTGTTTACCATATGTCTAAGCTTGGTTCATGACGTTTTGGATATGTCAAAATCGACCAGCACTTACTGCTGGAGCCATCTATTGACAAACAGCAGGAACTTAGTTGCGCACCTAATATGTCTCTGTGCTGTATGGGATGTACATAAAAAATGAAAAATCCATGAAAAAATAACTGTATGGATATGGTTTATTAAAAGCAAAAGTGAAAAAAGAGAGAGAAAGAGAGAAAGAGAGAGAGGAGAGAGAGAGAGAGAGAGAGAGAGAGAGAGAGAGAGAGAGAAAGAGAGACATAAGAATGTACATAAAAGAGAGACATAACATGTACATAAAAAATATATGCGTATATATAATACTTACACAGAAATTGTCTGACATATATTTTACAGCTTATGCTCCCTTCAATTTGATTTTTACTTGGCACAAGCAAATGCCAATGCTGCGTGCAAGCGCAGTCCTCCCGGCAATCAAGTCTCCAGTTGAAGCCGATAAATTATTTTAGTAGCTTCTTATAACTCTAAAAAATAAATTTTTATAATAATATATATAAACGATATTATGTAGCACGTATGTATAATACTTAAATAGAAATTAACTCTTTACCTATATCTCCGCGATTCAAAAGACGTAACCTCCACGATGGCTTGTGACTTGTTAAACACATAACCAACGCAATGATAATCGCTCGAAATAACCGCGAGTCACATCGAGATCGAGTTCGAGATTCGACAGCCAATCAGTATCGCGGAAAAGAGGCAACAATGGACATGTCCATGCCTTTTTTATTGAGGGATGATGATAAATTCACACACAAAGGAAAAGAGATATGAAAAAAACGATCGCAAGTAGATGATGTGATATATAATATTATGTAACAGTGTAAAATTATATTATGCAAATTGTAAAATATAGCTATTTTCATTTATACACAAATATTTTCCCATAGCTGTTATCCCTTACAGAAATATCATACTAAGAAATACTGAAAAATTATTAGTGATTAAATATTACCAGTAATTCAGTAATTTTTTGGCTAGTACTTAATTTCTGTTGAATACTGATAATAAAATCACTGTTAAATATTGATAGTAATCAAATACTGAGAATTATTATGTAAAGGTAATAAATGAGAAAATCATAATGTTTACAAAAATATACTTATATTCCTAATTTTCTCATGTCTCATAAACTACTAGATATCGAAGTTTGTCAACACATTCCAAAATTTCATAAATCCTCCTGCGATAATTTCGATCCCAAATGATATACTGCTGGTCACCCATCCATGTCCTGGCCGCATTAAACTGTTGCTTAACCTGACGATCGAGAGCGCACGGGGAGACTCTGATGATTCCAATGATATTCTTACAATTCATGCTTATATAATGTATCCTTATAGTGTTCACAGTATATTATAACATACCTAGCAAACACCAAATTATAGTTACATAATTTTTACTTGTTGTTTATTGGATAATTTGTTGATAGATATTGAAACAATGCAACATTCGATATGCGATGAATATTGATGTGATGTAGTGAACCAGTGATAATTACTTTTACATTTTTAACAATATGTTATAATGATTAATCCAACAAAAGATAATTAAAGAATCCAAATTAAACAAATCGAATTACTAAATTTTGAGAGAAACTTTAAAAAAATATTATTTAAAATAATAGTGTTGTTTCATCAAATGACATGGTTTTCTTGAACGCTGGGCGGGGTGATAAGCGATCTACCATGAAGAGAGACTTCCCCCCCCCAATCTCCCTTGTGGAGAGGGGAGGGGGATACGTCGCGGTCGGGTGCGGGGCCCTAGATGTAATCGGGGTTTATGCCCCACCCTCGTGGGATCTCGCCCACTTCGAGCGCTTTTTGGATTTTTTTTTTTTTTAAGCCAGGGGAAATGCTTTACGCATACCCGCGATCTCCGGGGGGAGACCGCGGGTTATGTGGGACTCCTCCCCCGCCGAAGTAAATTCGACGAGGGCCCTACCCACTAAAACCCCTAGCGGATCCGTCCTCAGCGGTCGTCAGGGGGCCCGCGGGAACCACTTGCGCATTACTTCCGCGGATCCCCCTCCGCAGTCCTGAGGACCCCTCCCGGACCGGGGGTAATAAATCACCCCCGGTCGCAACTCTTCATAACAGCGGCGCGATGCGACCCAACATCGCGCCGCTTCTCTCCCGGGCCGCTATGATAGGAGGGTGCGCCTTCGCACATCCCCCAAAGCGACCCATAGGGGAGAGGGGGGACCGGGACAGGGCGTACTCACCCCAGAGACGAGCCGCCCTTAGACGAGAATCCCCGCAGGGTCCCGCCAGGGACCCCCCGACGCCGGCCTGATGTTCGGCCGGCGCCGTGGCCCCGATCTAGATTGTCAGATCGGGGGCCTCTCCACCGGTCGGATCTCGGGATAATTTCCGGGATCCGCCGGCACGCCTTCCGTTGGTCCGGCCTCATTAGGAGGCCGGCCCCTTCGGTGCCCCGGCGGTCTCCCACTCGCTGGAGCACCCCTCCCATCGGACACTCGAGGCCACTAACGCGGTGGCCCGAGTCCCGGCCATCTTCGAGGCACACCGCGCAGGCCGCACTAGCTGTGCACTAGCTGCGCAGCGAGGACCTCCTCTATCTCGTCGGGGAGGACCGATTCGTCAAAACCGACGAGTCGGACCTCCCCCATCCTTGAGGGCCGTGTGACCACGGCCCCCGGGAGCGACGCCCTGAGCTTAATAGCTAGGGCGTCCGCCTCCCTCTCCTTCCCGGGTCCGGCCAGCCCGAACAGGAGGCCGCCATTTGCGGCCCTCCTGACGAAGGCGGGCTGGACCCCACCCGCACCCGGGGCAATGTCGGCCCTCGCCTTGCGGAGGGCCTCCGCATACAAGAGGCTCCCTGTCTCAAGGCGTATCGACACCGCCGCCGTCGTCGGCACCGCCGGCAGCGCCCTTGGCACCGCCGGGCGCCCCGGAGCGCGCGCCACCCCACCGCCCCTTTGGGGCCCCTTTCCTTCCTTCTCACACCCCTCCCGTCCGCCACAACCCATCCCCGATTTTTCGGGGGAGCCACGGCGGGCGGGGAGAACGCAGTCACTCCTCCTGCTGCAACCGGCGGCACTCCGGCCGTCGGCGCCTCCCCCCTCCGCCCGAGCACCGCATCCCGCAACGGGGACGTTGCGCGGTTCCTGACGTCGGACCGCACCTCCGGGAAGGGGGACACCGCCCGGTCCATTACTCCATTCCTTTATTTTTCCTCTCGTAAGTCCTTTTCTCCATTTCTGATTTCTCCCTCTTCCACTTTACTCTCTCCTTTTCCCATTTTCTCCTTTCCATGTCCACTCTCCTTCGTTCCTCTTCCATGTCCGTGTCCTTCTTTTTAATTGCGTCTTCCAGAAATGCCGTCCTTGTTTTAAACACTTTGGCGATGTCCTTGCTATATTGCACTATTTCCTCTTTCCTAATCGCCATTCTCGTCTTCTCAGCCCGACTCATCCTCTTGCTTTTTTCCCAGTCCTCTTCTATGCATCCAGCACTTTCCGCAATCCAAATTATCCGCTGTAATACAAACGCCCTATTCCTATCCCTTTCCTCGCTTTTAGGTCATTTCACTATGTCCTCCCCCATCTCTGCCTCTCCCGTCGTGTTTCCATCTTCCGTCTCTGTCTCTGTCCCAGTTTCCGCCTCTTCCATTTCCAGCTTCCTTCTTTTTTTCGCCCATTCCTACCTTTCTCGTCTTTCCCATTTATTTGATCACCGCCCTACCCGCGGCGGTAGCCAGAAAGACCGACGCGCCCACCGTTGACGCACCGGTCCTGTCGCCTTCGCTCGGCCCATTGCTCGTTGACGACAAGGGGGGGGTCTGGGACCATAGCCCTCCCATGCCGGCGCGACATATCCGATTTGCCGCAAGTCTTACCTTCTGTCTTGTTCATCATGTATTATAATGGGGGGCTTGACGGCGGCCCCCCAACTCGGGCGGCTTTTCGGGCCGGCCCCTAGGGCGGTTTGGCTCAACTGAGCCTCAGGAGCCCGCCCTGCCCCCGCTGTGGATTCCCGGTGAAGTATTCACCGAGAATCTTGCTACTCCCGGGCTCAGCTGCCCACCCGGGAGGCCGGTTGCCATGCAGGCATTAGGGACCCGACAGCCCCCGCGGTGAGGTCGGTTCGTCCGCACCGGCTGTCCTAAGGACAACCGGGCGCGCACGCCTTCCTCTGATACTCTGGGGCGCCGCTGCCCACCCGAGAGATCGATACCATACTGGCATAAGGGATCCGGTACGCTCCCCTGCTGTAGGCGCCATTGGGCTCCCTGAAGCGAGAAGGAGGGGAGCCCTCCGGCTCCTAATACTAATGGGCGCAGCAATCCACCCATGAGGGCCTTTTAGTCGCCTTTTACGACACGCAGGCCATACGTTGGAGGTATTCTTTACGTCCGCGACCCACACGGACAGAGCACCTTTTGGAACGGCTGGGGGACCTCATGTCGAGGCGCCCCCAAAGGCCGGTTCTGGTGGCCGAAGACTTTAATGCCAGGTCGGCGTTGTGGGGGTCCTCGGCCAGGTGCTGAAGGGGCGAGGCAAAGGAGGAATGGGTCGCGTCTCACGGCCTCTGTATAATCAACAGGGGCTGGAGGAGCACCTTCGTCGGGCCGCGGGGGAGATCAGTGATCGACGTCACGTTGGCGTCTCCCCAGGCAGCCCGACTAATTCAGGATTGGCGGGTGGTGACCAGGGAAGAAAACCTTTCGGAGCATCGATACATCGTGATCCGACTGGTCGCCACCCCCGAGGAGGTGCTCCTGAGGCGCGGCCAGGAAGGCGCCCGACTACCAAGATGGGGTCTCCGTAAACTCGACCGCGACAAGTTGGCGGCCGCCTTAACGGCGGTCACATGGGCGGACTCGGGCCCCACACCGGGGACCCGGACCGCCATTGAGGCTAAGGCGGCCGGGATCGTGGGCGTGATGACGGCGGCGTGTGATGCCGCCATGCCCCGATCCCGGCCACATCCCCGCCGATCCGTGTACTGATAGTCGGCGGAGATCGCCGAACTTCGGCGCTCCGCCGGCCAAGCCAGGCGAGAAATGGATCGGCGTGGAAGGGCTAGTGCAGGCGGGATGGCCGCCGAGAGGGCGTACCGCGAAAAGAGGGCGCTCTCAAGGTGGCCATCTTTACGGCCAAGGCCCGTGCCTGGGGTGACCTGGTCTCCACCATCGACAGGGACCCATGGGGGCGCCCTTATCACATTGTGATGTGGCGTTTGCGCAACTGGACGCCCCCTCCAACGGCGTCCCTGGACCCCGACTTCTTCGATGATGTGGTGGGGGCCCTCTTTCCATGGGGGGAAGCTTGTATTCCCCCCTACGAGGCCCCCCCCCCCAGACGGAGAGGAAGAGTCGGTCAGGGTCACCGAGGTGGAGATGGACAGGGCCGTCAGGAAGTTCGGCGCTAAGAAAAGGGCGCCGGACCCTGACGGTATCCCAGGCACAGTGTGGGCCTTGGCGATAAAGGAGGCGGAGGTGAAGAGTCGCGTAATGCGGCTCTTCACCTCCTGTATAAGGACCATAGAAGGAGGAGGGCATACTAGGTGGTGGCGAGCCGCCGTGCGTTTGAGATCTGCGTATTTTTTTCGTTCCAGAAAGAGAAAAATATCGAGAGCGCGGTCTTGCTAGGCCGGGACGCGAACCCGGGTCTTTTGCTTGCCGGGCGACTGCTCTAAACCACTGAGCTACCTGACGCTCCACGCTCACGACACTCTCTTCTTTCTAGATAACGCTCAGAGATGCCGTTCGGAAGCAACATCTCTGGTGCGATCCCGAGCGCACGGCGACTACAGAGAGAAACAATGTTACTGTACCAAATGGTACAGCTGTCAGTCTCTCAAAGTCAAAGGTTGCTATCCTTTAAGACCTGCTGTCCATGTATGCCCGTCTCCACCATTGCCCTTCCTCATCCGGTGCAAATAATACAAATAAGCCCTGGGGTCGACACCAATTTTTTGGCAGCCGCCGGGTGCTTGGACGCAATGCGCCATGGCGGATCCACCATAGAAGGAGAAGGGCATACTAAGTGGCGGCGAGACGCCGTGTTCCCCAGCCCCTGGAAGAGGGTCAATCTCGTACTCTTCAGAAAGGGGGGCAAGCAGGAAGGCAGCCCTTCCGCTTATAGGCCGATATGCCTTCTGGACGAGGCGGGCAAATTGTTCGAAAGGATAATACACGCCCGCCTCGTCCGGCACCTATCCCGGGGTAGTCCAAGGCTCAATGAGAAGCAATACGGCTTCCGGGAGGGACGGTTGAACGTGGGC